AAACAAACAATAACAAAGCTCAAAAAATCAATAAAAATGCTATCTAACGCAACGAAAAAACACCTAAGAAATTCATTAAAACACTCATATATCGTCAATAAAATAAAACGAATATCAATAATAACAAATAACCAAGCCGGACGAAGAAAATCGAACATCAACAATATAAACCTAAAACAAAAAACAAATAAACTATAATTAAACAACAATTTTTCAAGAAATTAAATACTATAAAAAACTATATATTAATTTATCAACAAATCTTTTTTACTATATATATTTCTTTTAAAATCAATGTCAAAAAAAAACCATATTAATCAAATACATTTTTATCTATTTCGATATACTTTATAAAAAACAATAATTTTTTTAATTACCTAATTACATAATATTTATTTAAATTACATATAAACAACATAAATTACATATATAAATAAAAACAAATAGAACAAATATATCCTTATATAGAATTCAATCAATTCAATTCCTTTTATATACATATAATCAATATATATATATATATACTATTTAATCCTATACAAACGTAAAATAGATCAATATAGATTAAAAAATACATATAAAAACACATCTATATTAATTACATTCTCCAAATCGACTTTTGAATTTGGCAAAATCAAACGATCGTTCCCATATGTGTATCAGATCTTTGCGCGTTCTCGCATTGCTTCAAATACTGATTTCCCAGTCCATTCATATCGCTGTCTGGCACCGGTATTTCTTTAATCCAATTTCCTTGCAATTCCTTTTGCTTTCCAAACTAGATCTAGCTCGGCGAATCCATGCAAGGCGATCGGTGATGCGAGCTCGTGTCACAGGTCAAAATTGCATTTGCTCACACATTCAAATTGGAGCTTCCTTGGTTCCAAGCAACAACCTCAGCGTTTTCAATATGCAGGACAGGGTCAATGCCGATGCTGTGCCACTGAAGGAATACCTTCGATGCACGAAAGGCCACCACACCTGATCAGTGGAAGTACCCTTGGCCGGGCAAAAGCCAGCAATGCGACTCCATAACAACTCCATCTTGGTTGGTGCCCGGAGACTGAAAAGGGCCCACAGCAGCAGGCGTTTGGAAATGGATTTGCTTTCTGTTGCGCAAGGTATGGCAGCCGCCATCCAGACGCCCGCGGCGAGATTCACTACATTGAAGCTAATCTCACGCAATCATTACATTGATCTATGGCCACTGCCCTGTTCTTGTTCACTTCTTTGATAGTTTACGAGCGCCGTGGATTACCGCGTGCTAGATTCAGTCAAGAAGTTTAGGAAGCGTTCCCTGCATGCCACTTGTGAACAAAATAGATAGTGCATAACGGAGATCCAGGGAAGAAGCCTGGTCCCGTGAAACTCAGGATATCAGCTGTAGGCCGAATTTGAGCTATGGATACCTCGGTGACGATGGTTTGGACATTGTGCCAACCATGAAGTCTCAGTACAGCACAGGGTGCGATGGCGTTGTCCGCTCCACCCCCCCAACATACCTTCTCAGGCGTACATGCAGGCTTCCATTGCTAGCACGCCGCAGGGCTTGAGCGGGTAGTAGTTGCTGCGCAACTGTAGGTCCACAATGAGGCATGAGGAAGTCAACATAAATCAAGCTGACATTTTTGAAGTATATGAGTGAACAGTGAATAAATATCAACATTTGAATTCACAATCACTTTGTTTCTGCCATTCAAGTTGGGCCAAGCAAGCCTCTTGCAAGAATTGTGCTGATTGTGCAAAAAACCTTTGCAGCGGCTCAGTTCAGCCACTTGTTCTCCACAAGCTTTCGGGCCTGCG